GCAACCCCTCCTGACGCTCTTGGTTTGGCTGGCTGGTCCCATCCTCGGGTCCTCCAACCTGGGGGTCGCCCAAGTTCAGCCTCCTCTTGGCAGAGCAGTCATCATCAGAGCGTCGTGGACTCCTCTCTGGTGCATGTTGCTCAACTGGATGCTTTAAGTCGTTCCCACAGACGGCGTCAATTGTTGATGCGTGGATTTCGGTCCTCCAGTTCTCCTCCTCGCACCTACCAAACTTGTTGATCCGGGACTAGTACCTGCAAAACCAGATGAGCTAAACCGGTGCGACACTAGTCACACGGGCTCCGATGCTTAAGTTAGCAGGAGGATAATGTGAAATGTAGCTAGTTTTAGATGCCCTTACCTCTAAGGCTAGATTGCTACTTATAGTCGCCAGGTTGTTCCAGAACATTCCATAGGTAGCTAACCCTAATTTCGTTGGCGGGCCTGGGCGAAACCGTGGATCGAAGACGAAGGGCCGCTGGAGGGCCGTGGGCCGTGCCACGGGTCGGGACCGAGCCACGGGTCGGGACCGAGCCCCGAGTCGGGACCGAGCCCCGAGTCGGGACCGAGCCCATCGCAGCCCAGTGGCTTCCTTCCGATCTTCACCTGTACCTCGACTTTCGGTTTCCATTGCATAACAGATGGTAAAGTTTGAATTTCTCTCCCTCATTGAACTAAAAAAAAGTTTAATTAATTTGATAATATATGATAGTTTAAATTATGTTACTAAGGCAAGTATATCGGATTAAGGAATAATTTTTTCCTAAAATATTTAAATTAATTTTTAATATCCATTTTGTTAATTGTGGGTGATTTTTATTACAAATAAGCTGTTGTTGTTTTCCATTACTTTTGTTCTTTGTAGAAACACTATCGATTTCTCACGAGGTTAAGCAAAGAGATCGTGGGTTAGAGCTTGTATGTGTATTTTGATTATCTTCTCATGTTTTTATTTGTATCTGCAACATGTTTTTATTAAATTTTTAAAGAGGGAGAAATACAGAACAAGATAGAATAAAAAAAATTCTCTTATTTGCTTTAAAAATATATATAGTTGTAAAAGTTGTGATTAACAAAAAGATAAGTATTATTATATATTTTTAATTCATTATTAATAACTCAACAATTATATATGTTTTGTCCAATTTCTAACTATGACTTTGTTTTTGGTTTATCATAAAAAAAAAAAAGTCAAATCTCAACGATAATTGATAAATATCTATCAATCTACTTTGGATTATGGATTATGGCACGTTTTCACTTATTTCAATTTAATTCTCTTGAGTTGGAACGAGAAATTGATATGGGTTTTATTTTTTTCCTTCCAAATTATATCTTGTTATATCCATTTATTTCTCTTATTTTCTCCCTTGGTTTTTTTCCACTTCCATTCTCGGATTATTAGATGATGGAACATGTAATCGAACTACCTTTCTTTTATTAATTTATTTATCGTAAAGCTCTTTTGCTAACATGTGATTTATTTGAGCTGGGTGATCAGAATCCATACAAAGCCTTGATTCCAGCAATATCATCGGGATGCAAGTCGCGGTTGGTAGCACCAGAAGTAATGAACTCGTACATAACAGCCTCCTGAACCAGGCTGTGGTCGAGGCCCAGAAGATGGCCAATCTCATGCACCGCCACCGTCTCCACGTCAAAAGAATCAGCAACAGCGCCCACCACAAAGGAATCATCGGCGTCGAAGTGAAACCTGCCGTCCTCCGGATCATAGGCATGGGCCAGCACTCCCCCGGGGCCATCAAACGGAGAGTTGTCTCCATGGTCCAGTCTCTGGAAGCTTATTGTGAGATCAGATTGTGTATTGTTGGGAACTTGTGAGAATGTGAAACCGCTATTTGCAGCCCACTGGTCGAAATCTAGAGCCACTGGGTTTATTTTGTCGGATGGGTAATTTCCGAGGAACGCGTAGGTGAGGTTGTACTTGGAAGGAGGCCATTTGGGTCCGCTGAATTCGTAGTGAGAAACTTTGTGGAATTGGACATGGCCGTTGGATCCGTCTGCAGCCCTACATCCCTCTGTATCAGGGAATACGGACACAAGTAGAAGAACAAGAATGGCAGAAGACAACATTATTTGCAGAGCTTTGGAGGATTCCATTGCCAATATTGGATATGGTTTAATTTATCGAGTTGTGGTTGCAAAATGCCTTGCAATTTCATCCCTTATTTATAGCCCTTTTCTCATGAACAAAAATTGTGCAAGTTAACCACAACGTTCGCTTTCTCTTATCCAAAGGTTTTAAATGGGATGAAAATGTTGAGTTGGATGTAAATGAAAATCATTTCATTTCCCTCTTTTTTGGATTTATTAATATTAATATTGTATCTATAATATTTGTGATATTTTGTTAATTTGTTTTCTATACTATAAAAATATCGATTTATGTCTAAGGAGAGTTATTTTAGGAGAAAAATATCTCGGGTAGATAACAAAATGAACAAGTTAGCTCTAATTACAAATTTTCTAGGCATAATATATTATGGTATTCAAATGACAGCTTAATTTGTGTGGTACGTTATTGAGTATATGAAAAGCTTCTAATTCTGAATGTTGATTTGTTGCAGTAAAGATGATGCTCGAGCATTAGAGTCAATTATGGAAAAAGTGAATTGACAGTACAACTTTTACTTGAGAAATTACTGCATGAAAATGAAAAAGTTCTATTGCTATACTTATGGGCCTCATTTTATCCCTGAAATTGTTGCCCTAAATTTTAGGAGGGGTATAAAAACGTCAAATGAAGGTTGCCTAGCTCAATGACTCTCCATCAATTACTAGAGAGAACAAGACAAGAAAGGAGGGAAGATTCTTACATTTTGTTGAGGAAAACCCGAAAAAGATAAAAAGGGAACTGATTAGAACGGGTGTCTCAAGAGTAGCTAATATATATATCAAAGTAAATTAGATGTTGGTTTTTTAGACCATATATCATTTTTTTCTTTTCTACTTTTAAATAATTGATTTATCCTGTACCGTTATATTAATATTAATATTAAAAATAGTAACTATTTTTTTCTTTTATTTTCGTTCTCGCAAAAAGACAACACCAAAATTTCATTAAACAATTACTTAATAGTCATGTATTCCATCTCAAAATCTAATTGACAATAATAAGAAATATCCTGTATATATTATAAACTTTTGTTAAGTTTATTATCTTTTCAACGTAAAATCTTTAACATTTAGTGCCGTTGAATGCAATATTCAAATGAATCTACACAAGTTCCTAAGTACAGAGTTTTCAAACTTTCTTTCACACCTACATCGGTATAGAATTATCATCCACATTCTTCAAAGTTTCTAACCTCTCAGCTCCCAAATACAGATTAAAACGTGGCAAGCGGCAAAAAGAGTGGCGAGTCTGCCTAGTCAAACAAAAAACAATCATTCGAAACTAAACAGCAAAATTAAAAAAAAAAAAGAAAAAGAAAAAATGAAACTTTTAAGAAAGTAGACACGAACTTAGAAGATAGAAAGCCAACATAATATCATATATTTATTACCACATAGTTACATTGTTCATCAGTTTAATTATTTCCCCTTAGCCTGAAGTTTTATTTTATGACATGTAGTAGTAATAGTAGTTTATTATTATTATCATTATTTGAGAGATTGTTTGATTAATTAACATAATCAAGGTCCATATAAAGCCCGAATTCCATTAAGATCGTCTTGCTGCAAGGTGGCCTTGACAACGCCATCGTTAATGTATGGGTACATAATGGCCTGAGGATCGTTGCTGTGGCCGAGGCCCATAATGTGGCCAATCTCATGCACCACCACGCTCGAGGTGTCAAAATTGCCAGGAACAGCGCCCACCGCATACCGATCATCGCCGTCTAAGTGAAGCCTGCCGTCGGTTGGCGCAAAGGCATGTGCCAGCACTCCCCCAGGCCCATCAAACGGATAGCCATCTCCATGGTTCCCTCTTTGGAAGCTTATTGTGATGTCAGCTCGGACATTGTTGGCCACACGTGTGAAGCTGAACTTGGTTTTGGAATCCCACTCGTTGAAAGCTGCAACCACCGCACCTACTTTGTCCTGTGGGAAACCCGAAGGAAAGTTGTAGGTCAAGCTGTATTTTGAAGGAGGCCATCGCGGTGCTCCTGGGAAGAATGAGTAGTGGGAAACTCTGTGGAATTTTATTCGCCCGTAGTTGTTGGACTCGTCTGCTGCTATGCATCCTTCTGAGTGAGGGAACAAGGAAATTAGGACCAGCACAAGCGCCAAAGCTGAGACCATTGCTTGGAGTTGCAGAGCTTTGGAGGACGCCATTGATATATAGCTAGCTATCTCTTGAGTTATGGTATTGCACAGTACCTTACAATTTCAACACTATTTATAGCCACCATTTTACTCATCCAAAGCAACTTGACACCAATGTTATGGACCTCTCTATTAATTACTTATGACTTATCTAACAAACCCTTTATTCAACGATTTAATGATATTAATTATGAAAAACACTTGCTACTTGATGGAACGAGCTAGCAACCTTCTCCTTATCAGCACCGTTAAATATTTGACAACTAAGGATTCGTTTGATAACCTTCTCGTTTTTTATTTTTCATTTTTCGCTTGCTATTTCTTGTTTCTCATCTTTTTTAAAATGAGAAATAGAAATTCATATGGTAATCATTTTTGTTTCAACTTGGGCCCGAGAGTAGAAAACAAAATGTAGGTGAAGGCTTCTGCCAACCAACCACATGTACATTCAACCCAAGTACACTATAGCATATGTATACTAAAATGCTTGTGAACAAAGGAAAAAAAAACGGAAACAGTAAAAAAAAAAAACTACATTTTGGAGTTTTCAAAAATTAACTCATTTTTTAAAAACGTTTTTCAAAACTTAAAAACAATAAACGAGATGGGTTACCAAATAAGTTTGTTTCTCGAAAAAATGAGAAACGAGAACAAGAAATAGGAAACATGAAACAGGAAACACTAACGTTATCAATTAAGCCCTAAGAGTGAAAAATGCAAAACATTTATTTTTTTAAAAATAATGAGTTGGCAATTCTTCAATAGGGTGAGGACAAGATTTGGTCATTTGAGCCGAGTATTTTTCATTAATTATTTGTGTAAGTATATTAATCGTTTGAATTTAACCATTATAGGTGGCTCATTGGTCCAAAAACGTTAGGGTTAATAAGAGGAAATGAGTTCAAACCCGACACCAAATGTTATAGGGTCAGGCGGTTACCACATGAACTTTATCGAGGTGTGTGTAAGCTGGCACGAACACTCACGAATATAAAAAAAATTAATCGTTTGAATTTTGTAACATGGTTTGCACAATCTTTCATGTTACTAATTTTTTTTTTCTTTTGAATAAAACCAGTACAACAAATGTGGGGAAAAGAAGCAAGTTACCATTAGGAGCTATGGGGATTGTTTTTAAATTCTATGAAATAGATGTGTTAGATGTGAACACTCGTAAATTTTAAGGGTGTGTTTGAGAGTGATGGTAGAAAAAGTGATTTTGAAAAAAAATTAAGAATAATTGATTTTCCAAGATCACCCGAAGTGATACCTAAAAAATCAATTTTAAGTGATTTTATGTTTTCCTAAAATCAATTTTTTAATTTTGCGAAACATGATAAATGAAAATGAGAGTGATTTTGACATGACAAAAGTTGTCATGTAAAATCACTCCCAAATACACCTTAACACTATACATTGGGGTGTCAAACTTTTAGTCGCAACAGTTTGTACTTTTTTTTCTCTCTTTTCATTCATGGAATAATTTAGGGCCTGTTTGGTTGGCGAAACTTGGATTCTGTTTTTTGTTTCCGAATTTACTGAATTCAACCGATTTAGTGAATAAGTGTTTGGCAGGATTTGGGAAATTCGTTTTTGGATTTTGTGATCCAAACAGTAGAAATTCTGAAAACGACTTTTTCATGTTTTCAGTGTTTTCAGATTCAGAATTTACTGCAGAATTACAGTAAAAATGATAAAATTGTTGATAAATATATTACTTCATATTATAAACTCATTTTATGTTTGTTAAAATTAAAACATGTAAAATATAATGTATCTAAATTATATAACAATGTAAAATAATAATTATACAAAATTTATAAAAAAATGTTAATAAATTAATTAATATAACTTTTAGATTAAACTAAATAAGTTTGTAACTTTTTTTTTTTTAAGAAAGATGCATTTAATTAAGCCACTAGGGCAACGGTTGAAAGGGAATCCCCTTTTACAAGATCCATTAACCAAGTGGGGAACGAAAACTGCCATAAACACGTGGATGAGGCCAAAATTCCCCATTTGGCTAAGGAATGGGCACAAAAATTACACGAACGGGGGAGTGCATGAAGGAAATTGATTCGAACACATATCTGAAAACACTGAAAATAAATAATAACTCTAAATTTTATTGAATCCCTTGTTTTCAAATTTCTATTTTTTGGTTACCAACCAAACGCACCCTTATACTTTTGGTACTTGAGATTTAGATTAGGAGCACAAGAATTCTGACCGTTCAAGAGCCAAAATTTTTCCTTTGCTATTTGGTTTTTAAGTTCTAAAATCTGAGATTTTTAAATTTCTTTCGTCTTTAAAATCAAGAGCTTCATCAATCAGCTAGAAAGAATAACATAAAAATATTTAAGGGTACCAACAGATATATCAATTTAAAACAAGCCATTTCAAAAAATGGTCAAACAATTTTTGAATGACTAATTTAAAAATAGGAAAATCTCTACTAAAGTATGAAATTACTCTTCCATGATTTTTAAATTAATATATTATTTATCTTTTTCCCATATGAACAATCCAATTCATTATACTTCATTTTTATGTCGAATGAGGAAAAAATCCAATCCATCGTGTGTGAGAGCGTTGAAAAAGTTTGGTAATCTTCAAAGTTCTTTTTGTAAAATTAATCACTCAATTTATTGATAAGAGAGTTCAAAGGGTTTTGTCATAATTAATAGTTTTAATATTAATGTTAATATCAGACTAAATGAAAGAAAAATAAGGTATTTAAATTTATATATTGTCCTAAAAAAAAGAGAAGCTGTCTCATATTTTTAAATATAATAACAGGGTTGCAATTTATGATAATTTCTAAATTTTTTGCTGGGCTATTTAAATATTGAGAATTTAGAGTAGATGTCTTATCTGTCACTCCCTTTTAAAAAATGGTTAGATTTTTGTTAATAAAAAATGTCAATTTCAATTTTTCTGGTTTGATTTTGACCATCTTACCCTTTCTATTTCCTTATTATTTTCAAAATCAAAATAATACTTTCTGTATTAGATTCTCAAATTTATTTCTTGTTATATCATCTCTATTTTCCTACGTTTTATCTCCTACATTTTACAAACCATATATCTCACTTTTTAAATATATATTTGAATATCACATAACTTAAAAGAGGACAGCACACAAAGTGAGACACCATCAAAGTGTATCGTGAGGGAGACAAGAGGAATAGATGGGAGTTGAGCAAGGGTGACAACAAGGTGTGGAATGGACGGAATTGAGGAAGGGAGACAACGATGGAGCAACAAAATAGGTGACATAGCTGTAGGTGGGGCGGGGATTTTATGAAATTTAGCAAGGGAGAGCAAGGGATAACGGTGGAGCAACAAGGCTGGTGGCAAAAGCTATAAGTGGGGAGGGGAGTAGCAGTATGAGTTTCTACAAACGGTACCTTTATTAGGTAGAATTTTTTTAAAAATATTTTTGTGTATTAATTTTTCACAGTATATGTTCATTTTAATGTTAAGGTATTTGTGGTATTTGTTCATTTATTTTTAATTGATTTTTTTTTTCGAGAAAGTGGTACCATTTCATTAAGAGGTATGTGAGAAACATACATACCAAAAGGAAGAGCCTAAAAAAAGGCGGTTCAATTACAAGAAATGGTAGCTATAGGGTAATTACAAAAAAGATTTGATTTGGAGGACCAAGATGAGACATTTATATTGATGTCCTCTCAAAGCGAAGCCTTAGATCTAATAATCTTCGAAAAAATGTGGTTGTTACGTTCCAACCATAGGTTCCACATAAGAGATCCAATGGCGTTACTCCAAAGGATATCGCGGTGGCTTTTGAGAGGCTTTGACAAAAGCTCGGTAATAAAATTGTGAATAGTTCTAGGGAAAGTAATTTGTATCTGGAAAATATTTAGGATGTGCAGCCAAAGAGCAGTTGTGAATGGACAATGAAGAAATAAGTGATCTAAGGATTCGCATAGAACACACCGATTTGGAAAGCTTACCATTGATAGAAACCGAGCTTGTATCTTATCTGCTGTATTGAGACCTCTGTGGAGAAGGCACCAAAGAAATAATTTGCATTTTTTCGTAATGAGGAGGCTCCAAAAGTTGTCAAAGAAAACTGATTGATCAGGAGGGATTTCATATCCTGTACAGAAAATGCTCCATTGGAAATAGCTCCCAAATGATTTTATCAGGGCCTTTTGAATCAAAGGGCTGTTTGAAAGAGGATGTAAAAATGGCCCAATTGTTCAGCTCCCTGTCAAGCATAGGATGGTGAGGGAGGAAATTCCAATAGCCAAATTGCCCACCTTAAAAAACAGAGAGTTTTTTTTTTTGTCAGAGAGAGTGTAAAATCTGGGTTTAGCTAGGTACAGGGCCCGTTGCCGGTCCAATTATGATACCAGAAATACAAATCTCTGCCATTGCCAACTTCCCATGTAGTCGTTCTGTGAAAGATGTCCGTCATTTTAATAATATGGGACCAAGGAGCTTTTGAGCTACTGAATTTGCAAGTAGTGGGAAGAATCTCTAGAAGATGTTGTACATTTAGCTAAAATCAAAGAAACCCATAGGCTGTTATTTTCATTGAAGAAACGCCACGACCACTTTGTAAGTAGAGCCTTGTTTGTGATGCTAATACTTGTAATGCCAAGACCCCCTTGTGACTTGGGTATTTATCCATCTATTGACCGTATTTGTTCATTTATTTACCGTATTTGTTACTGCATTTGTTTTCATCATCTTCCGTATTGGTATTTCCATTTCTAAAATGATTTTCTTGATAAAATGTTAGTATTTCTATTTCTAAATTGAATTTTTTTGTTTAAATTTTGTTTTAGATTTTAATTTGATTAATATTTTTTCTTAGATTTGTTAGTATAATTCTCTTGGAAAAATATATGAATTAAAAAATATGGATAAGATTTTCAAAGTATTTGAATGATTCATTAGGAAAAATATAAGTATGATTCTCGGAAAAAGATAAATAATATATTCATTTAAAAATCATGGAAGGGTAATTTCGTACCTAAAAAATTAGGAGTTGGCCATTCTTTTAATAATAATTTAGTTATTGCAAAATATCACCTAAAAGTAATTGGAATATAGCAAAATGGATGTAATTGATGTAAAACAATTTTAATATATACAAATTAATTATACCGTTGACCTGTACTTGACCTGTACTCAAGTTGATGTAATAAATTAATATCTTTAGTTATTAATTATATTATTTAAATTAATAATTGATTTATCAGTTCCAAACTTACTTCAACTAATCTGATTGAATCGTAAGGAAGATGACGATGCTGTTTTTTAGAGATTACTGAGATATCTTTAATTGACAATTAGGTTTTAGGAAATTACATGTTGATGTTGATTTTTGGGGTTGGTGCTATGGGAGTCTCATATATATGTCTTTTGTCTCCTAGCTCAACGTTTATATGCATAAAGAAATAATCTTGCATCGGTACGATGCTATGCTGAATAAAGTACTATAATACCTAAGTTAAAATTTAAGAGGGAAAGAAATGGATATGCAGCAAGTAGGTTAAAAAAAGCAGAAACTTCGGTGAGAGTCTGCTTGAGATTGTGTGTTCAATTTTCCTTAGAGTTCTTGTGAGAATTTCAGTTTATCTAAAATAAAGTTTCTTTAGAACTTTTGTATGGAGAGAGAGCAAGATACAGAGGGTAGAGTGTCGTGTTAAGGGATCGTGGGTTCCACTGATATTCTCCTTCTCTTTGTGTACTACAGGAGGGGGCGTCGCGCCATCTTCGATGATCCTTTAGAGCGTATCTCTACTCAGACACAACGTGTATCTCTGTACGGATAGCTAGGTGCACTCAGGTTAGGGCCCGATGCACTTGCTCCCCCTAACTAGCTAGGTCCACATGGCTCAATTGAAGCTCGGACATGTGTTTAGCCTTATATTTAAATTGCATCAACCTTTTTATTATTTTCTTGCTGCAAGTTTATATACGCTAGCTTACATCAAATTCGTAGCGGCATTCTTTAAAAGTTGTTGCAATTGTGTAATTTGATATTATATTAAAACTTAATTATAATCTTTGCTTTTTTAGCTATTTTTAATTTAATAATAAAATTTATAGTTGTACTATCTTGTGTATTTTGGTAAAATTTATAAAAAAAAAATAAAAAAAAATGCAAAAAGTAAAAAATAACCCATGTTAGTTTATCCTTTTTATATATATAAAATTTATTCCATATATGTATAAAATAAAGGAGTTTTATCCTTAAAAAGAATCTTTTATGAAAATTAACTACAGTTAAAAAAATCAACTCGTTCTACATTTGAGAAAGAAATTAAAAACGACAATTTGATCAATATATATATCAAATGTTTAGGAAGCAACCATTATGTATAGGAAACCTTTTATATATATTTTATTTTCTTAAATAAAAAAATAGTTGGGCTCGATTAGAATCCAGCTCAGGACTAAGTGGTTATAGCATAACATGAACTTAGTGAGTAAACGACATTTATATATCCGATCAAAATGTCGTATGTTCGAATCCTTCCACCTCCTTGTTGTACAAAAAAAAGTGGTTAAAGTAGGGATTTCACCACCATATTATTACAAGATTTCATTGCACACATGAGACTTGAGACTCCTCTATGTCGCTCCTGATTATGGCAGGGACAATCACATTATGGTAGTCATACAATCTCAAAATTCACCTTCAAATTTTCTTAAGAAACATAGCAATATCAATGACGACGATTGACCATCTCTACATGTCTTTACATTTTGATTTCTTCCTTAATCAAAACTCTTTCATTTACCTCGGTTTGGAATTAAGAAGTACGGAAAAATTAGAAATACTTTGGAATTATGAAAAATGTGATTTGATACTTCTGTTGGGATGAAAATGAGAAGAAAAATAAACATTTTATTAATATAGCCTTTTACGTCCTATGATAAATTAAAATATAATAGAGTTAAAATAGCCATTGAAATGACTATATATATATATACCATTTTATTCTTATCTTTAAAGAAACAAAGATTTAAAATTAAGATGGATGATAAACATTACCCAAATGAAATAATCCATTAGAAATCTAAAATAGGTTAGTCTTAACGGTAGTTGCTAGAACACTCTATGACTTTAATTTTTTCTTTTTGAAAAGTGATTGTTATTGAAGATTCATAATTTCATTTGGAATGAGAAAGAACAAAAATATAATGTTGAACTAGAAACAATGTCAAATAGTAAAAGAAAAAGAAAAAAGGGATTAAATTAAATATTTTCACTTGTATGTTACTTTGGAAACAAAAAGAAAATAAATATAAGATCGACGGGTAAATTAGTAATTTACTATAGGAAAGGTATGGAGGAAGTAGAACTAACTAATTTAGTCAACCATTAAAAAAAGATTTGACTTAACAAACAAGTAGATCCATTCAAACTCTCTATAACAATTCTCAAGATCTTCAAACTCTCTTTTAACAATTCCCAACATACTCTAACAAACAAATAAGTCACTATAAAACCCTCACAACCCAACCCATATTCTTCAATATCTTCGTCAAGCCTTTCTACTTGTTTCCTTCCTTAAAAATATAACGTCGTTCACAAAACTCAAACTCTTCCTCTTCGCTCTCCTCCTCGCCTCCATTGCACAAAATGCAATCTCCATACGCGATCTCCACCCCCAAAAATTTTCTCCATTTCATTTTCCTAAACATCTCCAAGGTTCCAGAAAGGGCGACACCATAGAAGGAATCCACAGCGTGAAGCTTTACCTTCAACATTTCGGCTATTTGATCAATGTTTCAATCCATGCTCACAACACATTCGACGACCCTTTGGAATCTGCACTCAAAATGTACCAAAAAAACTACCACCTCAATGCCATCGGCGTTCTTGATGCCGAGACGTTAACGCTATTGTCCACGCCTCGATGTGGGCATCCTGACATAGTACACCTAGATTATGCCATCGTCCCCGGAAGACCCAAATGGCTACCCACCAAATACCACCTCACCTACGCATTCATCCACAACTTCCCTCCAAACTTTGAGGCGCCAGTGCGGTGCTCTTTAAATGCGTGGTCGGGCGTCAGCAAGTTTACATTCTCGGAGACGACCGAAGCGGCGGCCGACGTGAAAATAAGCTTCGAGAGAGGGGACCATGGCGATGGGTATCCTTTCTACAACCCAAACATTTTGGCGCATGCTTTCTACCCGACGGACGGGAGACTTCACTTAAATGTGGATCAAAATTGGGTGTGGGGATCTGTGGCTTTTGCATCGGATGTGCAGACGGTGTCGCTGCATGAACTTGGACATACTCTTGGCCTTGCCCACAGTCTTGATGAAGGAGCTGTAATGTATGCCTACATTCCTCAAGGAGTCGTGAAAAGCTTGACTCCGGATGATATTGCAGGGATAACTGATTTATATGGTAGTTAGTACATTTTGTCAAAGAAGTAGTTCAACTAATTTCTAGCTAGTTCAGTTGTTAGTTGACTCGTTAGACTTTAATTTTATTTTGCTATGTGCTGTAAATTGGTTTGAATAAATAAGATTCATTTCCTTTTTTTTTCCTTTTCTCCTCGCCAGACCCAGATCAAGGCTCTATTGGAGTAATCAAACTCTTGAAAGTTAGTGCTAGTTAAACTTTTTATGTTAAGATATTTATGTTTAAGAATTTGATTTGCATTGTTTAAGAGGCAACAAGTTAAATTTTATAAAATACCCTTAAATTAATATGTTATTTTCAATGATGCTTCTAAAGCATCCCTCTATTAGAGGATTAGTTTTAATTATGTTAACCATGTTTATACACAATAGGTAGTGAGAAGCCCTTCACAAGATTTTTCTAATTTTTACTTAAACTATCAATATTGCAAATCCAAGTAGCAATTAGTAGATAATGATCACCACATATTTGTTAAGCTAAGAAGAAATGTATCAATAAATGTTGAAAGACTTTATTGGTAAACTATGTAAGTTCCTTTTTTCTTACCATAAACATAAAACAAATAATTCCAAAATGATTGAAATTAATTTGATATAATCAAAGCCATATTGAATTTCAGAATCTCAGCTGGATCCTTCTGTAACACAGGCAATAACCCATCACTTGAAATGCCTCCTCTCCTTTTCCTTCACACCCAGATTGTTTTCCGGCGGCCGATCTGCCACCAGTTGGCGGCTGAGGAGTTCCATAGTTCCCTTACTAGACATTCCATGCGTTCAATCTGTTAAAAAAACACACACACAAGTTTAGTACACAATTCTCTTACTCTCGTGATTGTATTTTCGTAGGTCTAAACTAATTATGTCGGGTCTAATAAATCTCTAAACAAAGGTGTTAAATTTTAGATGACATGTCTATATTTTCATTATTTATATGATGTTGGTATAAAAGGGTAAAAAAGGATATTTTCATTAATTATATGGGAAAAATTTTGATGTAATATAAAAAATATATGAACAAAATATCATTAATGTGGAATTATCAATAATTTTAATTTTAATTTTAGACTTAAAAAAAACCCTGAAACACTTATTTGTTAATTAAATAATATTATGAATTTCTTAATTATATATGTTTTTTCAAAATATGTGAAGAATTATAAAAATAGATTGGTTACTCCATTGAATTTGTTTTGAGATGGAAAACTATAAATATTGATATGCATGGTATCAAAGCCTATCATGCTCAAACAAACCTACCTGTGTTAAAAACGGGATTTAGTTAATTTTCAATTTGTTTAAAAACCTTCAATAATGATGCACCTTTTTATTAAAAGGTGGTTTAAATTCTTGAAAAATACAACTATCTTTTATTGAAGGAACTCGAAAAACCATAAAAACTCACGCTTTTTATCAAAAGCTATTATAAACACTCCAAAAGAATATACATTTGCCAACAGAAACCTTATAAACCTTTAAAAGTATTACATTTTATCGAATGTATTTAAAAAAATTTTAAAATTATCCGCTTTTTATCCAAAGTTATAAAAAAACCTTCGAAAATGATACACATTTATCAACAAACATAAGAACCGAAAATATATTATCTTTTACCGGAGTTAATTATTTATAAAATCTTTAAAAATGGTATTTTATTAGAAGCTTATTAAAAATCTTTCAACAAGTGCGTATCTCTAAATTTTATTTTGATTTATTATTATTATTATTATTATTATTATTATTGGGTTAGTTAAGTAACGTTGGGATAAAATTGTGGAGCCAAAATTAAATGGGCTAAAAAGGGAAGAAGCGCAATATCTTTGTTTTCTCATTCTCAACTAAATTTGCCGCCACACACCGGTAAAAAAAATTTATGTGTTGAATATAATTTTTTTTTCCGAGAAAGAGATACCATTTCATTAGGAGGTATGTGAGATACATACAAAAAGGAAGAGCCTAAAAAGAGGCTGTCCAGTTACAAGAAGTGGTAGCTATAGAGTAATTAAAAAAAGATTTGATTTGGAGGACCAAGATGAGGTTAATCTTTGAGTGCTGGTTGAAAACAAAATTTGGTTATTGGCGTGTGTATTATTATTTGTGTCGGTGCATAAATATTGAAGAGGGGTTGTTGCAATGGATTGGCAGAGGGAGAAGACGAGATCCTAAGGTTAGTGCATGGTGGGGCAACCAAATCTCTTGAGTATGGTGGGGTTCTTCAAGGTTTTTCATTCTTATATTTCTTAGGATATAGTTCATGGGTTACTTTTGTCTAAACCTCTAGATTTGAGAGATTTGTATTGTCCAATATTTATTCCAAAATTATAGCGGAAACCGAAACGGGAGGTAGCCCATAAGGGGGTGAACTAAATTGCTTGTATCTATGTGCTTTTTCCTATTTCTCTTATTGTGTGTGATTAACTTAGTTTTCACTCCATGACAGGTAGAAGAGAAAAATACTATTGGTAAGTATATAACAAGACATGTACAAGTTTTTGGTGGATGAAGCAGCTCACTTTTGTTACTCCATTACTTGAGCTTTATTATTTCCTCTTACCGAAGCAGCTCACAAATCTTTAATGCTTGCCTTGTTAAATAAAATTAAAAAAAAAAATGTAAGAGATTGATTACCTGAATTGGAGTGATATCTCTCTGCAAATAATTAAGAGGAGTCCAAGAGGAAAGGGAAAGACCCTGATGGTTAACAAGTTGAGGCAGTCCGAGTAACACTGTGTTACTGAATCTTGTTTTGTTGCTGCATGAATGCACTGTAAGACTTGGAATGCCCTATTTGATCTCTCTCTCCCATCGAGACTTTAACCCGCACTACATTTTATTTATATTTTTAGTCAAAACTCAAATCATATACCTCTCTCAAGTGATTGATGATACACTTGACATTAACGAAGATGACATTTTTGTGCAAGCCTCTGGACAAATAGATGTGTTCGAGGTTATAAAGTAAGTGTTACTCCTTGTGCGTTGTTTGGATCATCTAACAATGTTCGTGATCTTAAGCGGTATTCTTAACAAGTTAGAACGTTTTTAAGAATCTAGAACGTCTTCAAGAATCTGAACGACAAAGAATCACAATGATAGCTGAAATGATGTGTAAAATGTCTTAAAGTGAGGGGTTAGAAAATCTAGGTATAATATATCAAGAAATGTGAATATATATATTAATTTTTCACGGACTTGAAGTATTTGTATTAGTTGAATTAGTTTTAGAAATACGGATCAACTTATTGATTGTAGTAAATAATCTTTTGGTTGCGTTGGATATAGTCTTGAAGTTATTAAGTTTACCTAGAAAATAACAGAGAATATAAAAACCAAGGCAAACGAACAATATTTTGGAAAATTTCTCAAATTCCATATAAAGCCTTAAGTCCAGCAACATCATCGCCATGCAAATCCTTGGTATCTCCCTCTGGTATGGTTGGATACATAATAGCCGCTTCAATGGAGCTGTGTTGAAGCCCAAGAAGATGGCCAATCTCATGCAACGCCACCGTTTCAACATCAAAATAACCAGAAAGAGCCCCCACAGACCATGGCTCATGAGCGTCGAAGTGAAGTCTGCCGTCCGTGGGTGGAAAAGCATGGGCTAGAATCCCTCCCATACCATCGAACGAGGCGAAATCTCCATGGTCTTCAATTTCGAAGCTTATTTTGATATCGGATTTTTTATAGTTCGAAATCTTTGAAAATGTGAAGTGGGTTTCGGAAGCCCATTTGGAAAAAGCTCGATCCACGGGTTCAATTGCTTCAGATGGGTAGCCCGGAAGAAATGCATAGCTCAAGTGGAACTTGGAAGCTGGCCATTTTGGTTTCCCCCCGAAGAAAGAATAGTGAGAAACTGTGTGGAAACGGCCATCTCTATTTTTGTGGTCCATTGATGATCTCATCCAAGTGGTTCCATTGAAGAAATCTTGAACCCCACATCGAGGCGTGCGCATTTGGGTTATGGTCTTGGCGTCCAAAATTCCAGAGGCATCAATATTGTAATTTTTCTGGTAAGTTTTAACGGCGGATTCCAAGGCATGGTCGAAGGTGTCATCATCCATGGCCATGGAATTCTTCTCCACATTGGTAATGTAACCGAAACGTCGAAGGTACTTTTTGAGGCGATGAATGCCTTGTGCTGTGTCACCCAAACGACATCCTCGGAGATTGTTAAAAGACAATGAGAAAGATGAGTTCATGTCGTGGGCAATGGCATTATGTTTCAAAATCAGTACACGAGACGACATATTTAGATGAGGGAAGAAGGAAAGAAGAAGAAATAAGATGAAAGCAAAGATTTGGAAAGCTTGGGAGGACATTATTGATATGGGAGATATTTAGCTTTGGGATGAGCGGTGGATACAATTGCGAAATACATGAAGTTTTCAGGCCTATTTATAGGCTTCTTTCTTGAAGTGAATGAGAAGTGCACGTCTCTCTTTATCTTAATAAAAAAAAAATTGTTTTATTCCTTCCAAATATCAGCTCTGTGTCTCTTGTGTTATCGTAGCATATCTTTCCATATTTGCGTTTGATCTTTTGGGCCACAGTCTTTCGAAAAATCTTTTGTGCCATGATTTAGAAAAAAAAAAGATTTCGAAACGATATTAGAAAATAAAGAAATCTTTTAGTAAATCAAAATATTTTTTTAAGAATACTACATAAGTAACAAAGCAAGGTGCAAAGATTCAAACATTTTTTTTTAGAAAAGAGTTACCGTCTCATCAAGAGTAGGTGAGAAATATACCAGACAAAAAGGGGTTGATTAGATAAACGCAACCCAATTAAAAGAAATGACAGTAATATGAAGCAACTATCAGAGAAGGTGCCAGGTTAATGACTAGTTAATTACTCTGTTTTTTTTAATATAAAGATATGTGGGGGCGAGGGATCCAACTCACAATTTCTTGATTGGAAATATATGTCAATTATTGCTGAGCTATACTCGCTTTGGACACTTGATGGATGTATGTTCAAATTAAAAAATAAAGATAATTTTTAAACACAAAGTGTTATCAAATGGAGTTCAAAAATGTTTTACTTATTAATTATTATTGCGTGTTTAATTAGAGAAAATAATAGCTGTAGCACTTAAAAAGGAGTGGGGTTTAATACATTGAATTTTTGTCAAAGCGGAGTATAGCTGAGTGGTAATTTACATATACCTCAAATCAAGAGGCTGTGAGTTCGAATCTCCTCCCCCAACATGTTGTACTAAAAAAAATACATTGAATTCTTTTTTATTTTGATTTCTTAAAATTATAAATTCAAATCCTTGATAAATTTCTATTGCAAATTTATGAATGGAATATACCTTACTACTCAAGATTATTTACTTATATAAATGAGGAGAGAGATGAAATTTTGATGAAGTGGGGAGAGAGTTTTTTGAGAGAGGAGAGAGATGGTTCATGCGAGAAAGATAATTTGAAGTGGTGGGAGAACATAAATGAAACACAAATAAAGGATAAATCGGGTATTAAATGAATAATCAATGTTAGAATCGTACACTAAATGTTTCTACCATATTCGTACTTTTAATATATATATATAGAATTATAGATATAGATATAGATTAAAACGAAGTACACCGAATGTACAACATTTAGTGGCAGAAGTAGTTAGCCTGTGAAAACGAAAGAGAATTAGTATTGAAAACCTATGTTTTCTCTGAAAAAATTGGATAGAAATTTAATTCCATAATGACTTTTAAAAAATAAATACAAAATGTTTACAAAATGCCCCAAAAATGGAATTGGTGCGGTGACAAGCCTTTGGGGCTCAAGGTACTACCTATCTTGAGGTCTCAAGTTTGAGTCTGAAAAAAAAATYAGAATATAACTCGATTAAGATAAATATTAAAATACCTTGCATGTTGCCTACTTGTGAAAAGTTCCTATTGTTTCCTATTTATATAGAAACTTGCTTTTAATTCCCTAAGAGATGTTCTAACTTCTAAGGTTTGGTTGAGGTGTGTGGTTGATTGAATTTGTGTTCATTGTATAGTCGTTGATGCTGTCAATTGTCTTTATCAAAAAAGAAAAAAAAAATGCTATCACTTATCCAACCTTTTTTTTTTTGTTCGTTCCATAACTAAGCAAGTCTTCGTGGTTACGTGAAGGCCTTGTGTTGATTGAAAACGGTAATTAGGAACCATACATGAACATCTCCACAGATCTAATCCTTGTACTTAGCGTGGAAAATCTTGTCCTTGTTAAATAATTTCTTGATTATATTCAATAATAGAGCACTAGATTAAGTTGATCCAAGCACCTTGGCATCTTGGCCGTCAAAATAAAAAATAATAATAAATAAAATTATTGTAAGAAAAAAATATCATTGATAGAAACGTGCGGAGAATCTGTTGCTCCTAACGGATAGTACCCAGTTTAGATGAGATCTTTTTCGAGGGGTTATCTTGTGTCATTATTTTATCACACTGTTGACAAGTGAAATAGTTATTCGGAGATCAAAATTAAATCCCTCCTTACTTTTATTTTATTTTGATGCAACTCTTATTTAATAGGGGATAGAGTGGTTTCCCTTAATTGGAAGCCTTTTTGTATTGGGTGTACAGGCAGGGCATGATTTATTGGTCAAGTTGCTAATATGCAAAATTCTTCCTTAAGAAAAGGCTCATCCAAGCAATTTCGAATGACGAATGATTAATAAAGTATATTTTTCATATTATTTTTTGTGTTTTAAATTCGACAAACGATTGTGGAAGTAATAAAAGGAGCAAAGGCCATGGCTTCCAAGATTATCAATTAATGAGTAAATATTGAATTCATCTTGACTTTTGACTTCATAATTTGTGAATTATAGCTCTTTATATTTTTAATTTCTTTTTTAATTTCAAACATTAAAATTAATTTTGTTGAGTAGTTATCTTTTGTGGGAATTCATCTACAATTTTAAAATTGTCTACCAATCAATAAATCTCACCTTAATAGACGTATATTTTTTGTCACCACAAGGTTGGAGGTTTGAATCTCCATCATTTAACTAAAAAGAGTAAAGAAAAGAAAAGAGAAAATGGTCGGAAGGTTGTTAGCTGTTCGTGTTCTCGCATTTCTAGAAAGAGTTGTCGTCGTGTATTTCTAAGTATGTAGTCATTGTCATGGTACTTAAAAAACTATGTAGCCATTGTTGTAGTATGTAGAGAGCATTGGAGAGTGAAAAAGAGAGATCTATTGTAATATTCTCATCACAGTAGAACCTACGATCGTAGAAGACAAGACGTAGTTTGATTTTGGTTAGTTGAGAGATCGAATTGACCTCCAATTTCAAGGGAAGAGCCGGATGCCTTGACCGTTTTGTTATACTCATATTTACTTGCATAACAATTCTTTTAAAACATAGAAAACCAGTTAATCGTGGCGATAGAGATATTTTAATGATGTAACTAAAGAACAACAAATCTAACACTTGTCGCTTTTATACAGGTAGGTTACTCGTCTTCAATGTTGGGTAGTTGGCATTTTTTACTTCAAAAGTTTGTTGGATTGAATTTTTGACATCTTTTAGGATTCTTTTTTCTTCTGACTTCTCAAACTGCCTTCCCTTTTTTTTTTTTTTAAGATTAAAACGTGAATTATTTTTTAAAATTGCCTAACACAAGGAAAACATGAATATTTTGAGATTTTGGAAAATTAATAGTATGGTGGAAAGTTGGTAATGCACAAGGGTAAAAATGTATTTTAATATGGTTGAGATTTCAAAAAAGGTAAAAAAAAAAAAGGAAGTAAATAAAACAGAACTAAATGACAGAAACGTTAACACCAATATAGTCATAGTCAGATAATTAAATAGATCAGCCATGGAGGAGAGGATCGGCTATCCAGCAAGCTGAGATTCGTTCTTCACAAGCTTTCCTTGCAATTTCATGTGCCACGGAGTTCATACTTCGACCTGCATGTATGAAACCGTTGATGGGAAAAGAGACCACCGCCCTTTTGATGTCTTCGATGAACCGATGGACTCTCTAGAGATCAACAGAAACACCATTGAGGAGACGAATCCTTTAAAAAAATTAATTTTTTTTTGTAGATAGTTGCAGTTTCAAGAACCTTCATAGGTTATTTTGTTAAGGATCCCTATTGATAAAAAAAGGACTTTACATGAGTTTATAATAGACATGGACTACTTTTCTCATTGTCAATTAATTTTGAAATAGAATCTCATGAATATTCATCTTTAGAAATTTACGCACCAACGACTTCTCCCTATAGCATCAGAATAAAAAAAAAAAACAAGTATTTTGAAAAGGAGCCAAAAGTAAAAAAAAAAAAAATTGTTAAGAGGGAACCTATTATAATTTAACAGTTTTTGTTGGATACAATACATTCGATGCATTTAAATAAGAAATTGGAAGGATGAGTACATCACCAAATATAAATATATAAAATGTGAAAAATGGAATTTATTTGTTGGCTCCACCAAGAAGGAAGAAGTTACAGCGAAGTTAACAGAAGTGAAAGTACTGGCGGCGAAACCGACCTTTGGCCTACCAATACCAAACCAAGGAGTCCCGACGCCAAAAATGGTCAACATCAAACTCTCATCTTGATTTTTAAGTGGTACCTCTTTGTGAGAAATATACCTACAAAAAGGAAGATCATAAAAAAGATTGTCCAGTTAAAAAAAAAATAGTAGTTATAGAGTAATTATAAAAAAATATTTGATTTGGAGCCCATAAAACACGAGCAATAAGTTGGAGTAACTACTGGACTAATGCAGGACTTCAAAGGGAAAATCACTGTTGGATTTATAAGGAGTACAACCAAAGTCTCACATCGGTTATGAAAGGGATGATCTATGGTATATTATGAAGGATATCTCCACATTAATTTCCCAACAACCACCTCAAATTTCTTAGAAAATTTATAGTAGGTTTCCCTATTTGTCACCCGATATTAAAAAATGGTCAAATCATCTCGGTAACAAAAAATGTCCATTTGTATCCTGTCAACTTGACACTTTTACCCTTTCTATTTGATTATTAGTTTTTTTTCCTATCACTATAAACATATTTTTAGATTTGGTCTAATTTTTTTGTACTATAATAAAAATGTTGTTAACTCATATGTCAATCTTGAATATATGAAAATATCAATAAAAGTAGTTAGATAGATATTAAATTTAGGGTGAGTTTGACTGGTGGTAAATATGAAAACAATTATTCAATGAAAAATAGGGTTGTATTCTTTCTTTTTAGTGTTTTTATTTGTTAAGAGATTTGATATAATTCATTATTAGTTTAAAAAACTGTTTAGTATGTTTAGAAATGTACTGGTAAATTAACTGTTACCCCATTAAATATTTAGTTTAATCTAAAATACTATTAATTAATTTTATTAATAGTTTTGTTATGAATTTTGTTTAATTATTATTTTACGACATTATATAATTTATAATATATTATAATTTACATGTTTTAATTTCACAAAAATAAAATAAGTTTATAACAGTGAATAATATATTTATCAAAACAATTTATATTTTTTTACAAAATTTCAATTATTTGGATTATATAATTTGAAAAACGATTTTAAGAAACAAATATGTCAAAACAGGACAGAGGACATGTTCATCGAATCCACTTGATTGAGTAGTTCACGAAATCTACTTGATTTAGTAAATCTGGAAACAAGAAACATAATATCAAACAAACGTTAATACTCTCACATGTCATCAACAAATATAGATTTGTTTTTAGTTTTTTAAATGTATAATGTGAAAATTGAATTTATTCCTTGGCTTCACCAAGTGATGTAGTACAGGCGACGGAGCTGACCTTTGACCTACATTTATGTTGCATAGAGTATTTCACATGTAATACACAATGATTATTTCATTTCGTTATTAAAAAGGAAAAAAGGAAAACAAAGATCGTTATAATCATGTATACCAATGACTTGGTTACAAATATAATTATAAAGTTAGGCCCAAATTCACACCCTCCAATTTTCTTTCCAAAATATATATATATATATATATATATATATAATTATAAAGTAATCAAAATACTTTTTCCATATCAATATTAATGGAGCAAACCATCTCTCTAAGGATAGGAATAACTCATGTCTATTATATATATCTTTATTATATGTTCTTCAAGATAACTCTTTTTGTTCGTCGATCTAGAAAGAATTCCATTTTTAGATCGAATGTTCGTTTGAATTCGTTGGACTCTAATATCATATCATTATTCACTAGTTCCGTCTCAAAATTAATTGTCAATAAAAGAATAATCCATATCTATTATAAACTCTTATTAACATTCCATTGCCCTTAAAATCTGACACTCCTTGATTTTATTGCATTGCTCACTCTTGGGCTTGTTCTATGGATGATAATCATCGTTCCATTGGTCGTTGTTAACTTTTCTAGTAGAAACATGAATTTGTTGGTCATTTAAAAAGAAAAGATACTCATTTCAAAATTCACAGTTTGAAAGTGAAAATTTGTGTCATTTCTTCCGCGCCATATTAATCTCAAATATATTAATTTCAGCATCAGTCCAATAATTAATTTCGGAACATGAACAATTCAATATCCACAAAATATTTCACAACAACAAATGTAAATACCCCCACTTTCCATAATCTTAACTTAAAATACTTGTAAAATGTCATAATTAAAAAATCATAATTGTTGGGTAATTGTGGATTCAAAACAAGCTAATTGAGCCCATAAGGCCCAATTTCAATAGGTTTTTGCTAAACACTTATATACATATATATGTTTGCTTTGCCGTCACAATGAGTGTAGTGTTGTTGCACACACATTGAGTTGCAACCGAGAGAAGTTGCAAAACCCTTTTCTTGGTGTTGTTGCATCAAAAGAAAAAAAAGTGGCGGCAGTGGTGTTTGGTTTTGGCAGAGGAAGAAAAGAGAACTTGATTTGTAGAGCGTTGTCGGTAGCGTGTTCTCTTGAGGTTCGTGAGGTTTTCGTTCTATATTCCTAAGTATCTATTGGCGTAGTGCTTAGAAACTAGTTGGCCATTGTTGTGGCATCTAGGGAGTGCTTTGTAGAACGTTTGTGAGGTCCATTGTATTTATCCCAAAATCATAGTAGAACCCGTTGTTGCGGAAGACTGGACGTAGCCCATAGTTGGGGTGAACCAGTATAAATTCATTGTGTCGTTTTCTGTGGTTTTCCCTATATTTGCATATTGTGGTTGTGTTTGGATATTTTTTGTGGAAGGGGAAATTATACAGGATAGTTAATTTCCCAACAAGTGGTATTAAAGCGTACGTTGCAGAGTCATGGGAGACAAATATCAAGTACATCATTACTATGAAGGGGTTCTGAAGTTCAGTGGAGAGAATTTCAGTTTTTGGAAGATGCAAGTAAAGGATCTTCTTACGTGCAAGAAGATACACAATACTTTGGGGGAGAGACCAGCGGATATGACAGACAAAGCTTGGAATGAGATGGATGAGCAGGCCGTTGCAAATATCAGAATGACATTATCAATGGGGGTATGCAGTCTCGTGGCGAAAGAGACGACTGCAAAAGAGTTGTTGAAGGCCTTGCAAGACAGGTATGAAAAACCTTCTGCCAATACAAAAATATTTCTATGGACCAAGTATTTTAACATCCACATGGAGGAGGGAACCTCAGTGAATTCCCACATTAATGAGCTCACCGATATCTTGAACAAATTAGAAGGGATGGGTGTCAAGATTGAGGAGGAGGTGAAAGCTATGAGGCTGTTGACGTCTTTCCCTTACAGTTGGGAGACGATTAAGACCGCGGTGTCGAATTCGCTAGGAGAAAATAGCTTGAAATTTTCAGCTATTTGTGATGCCGCCTTATCTGAGGAAGCCCGGAGAAAATTAGGAAAAATGTATGTAACTACTTCAGGGGCAGAAAATGAGGTTGAATCAGCTTTGGTAGCTCAGTTTAAGGGGAAGGGCAAGATGAAGTACAACGGGAAGCAACAACATAGGAATAATAGGGGTAGTGGGAATTCCAGTGAAGAAGTTGAATGTTTTTACTGTCATAAGAAGGGTCACTTCAAGAAACATTGCAGGAAGCTTAAAGAGGATCAGGAAAATGAGGATACTCTAAATTACGTGTCAGCGGAGGTGTTAGCTTGTATTGAAGGTAACACAACACCTGTAGACCGTTCATCAGAGTGGGTAGTGGACAGTGCAGCTTCGGTGCATGTAGCTTCAGACAGGAGTTGGTTCACGTCCTTTACTGCAGGAAATCATGGTGTGGTAAGGATGAGAAATGAGAGACTCTCCAAGATCAGAGGAATTGGGGATGTTCTTTTGAGGACTGACAATGGGACCGAACTAGTTTTGCATGGTGTCAGGTATGTACCCAGTTTCATGATGAATTTGATATCAGCAGGGAAGCTGGATGACGAAGGCTACAAAAGTGAGTTTGCAGAGAATAGATGGAAACCCATGAGGGGATCCGAGATAGTGGTTGTTGGCCACAGAAAAGCTTTGTGTTGAGGTTTAATATTGCCAGAGGATTAGAGAGACAGGTTATGCATAGAGCTGCAGATAATTCAGGGGGAGACTTGAATGAACCAGCAGCATTGACAGTCATGACAGATCAGGAGAATCTGCCATTAGTTCAAGTACAACAGCTGGGAAGTAGAGGAAAGGGAAAGAGGAAAAACTCAGTGAGGTGTTCGACAGACTGTCAGTTTCGAGCCCCAGTTGTCAGACGGACTAACGAGATGATGAAGTCGCATAGGCGAAATGGTGCATTGAGAAAGACTACAGTTGGTGCTGAGGTCGAGGGTGAAGTTTCTAGGGTGGCAACGGACTTGGGTGAGAGTGCCAAGTCATTAGGGAAATCTTTCTTCAAGAGTCGTTGGGTGCGAGTGAAGAAGGAAGCGTCGGAGACCACTTAGTTCGAGTGGGAGCATGTGGCTGTGTCTCTAACGTCTGGGAGACAAGACCACGTATGATTGCTCAGTCTCAGGTCAATCACAGATAGAGCCTTGGTTGGTGCCAAGAAGAAGTTAGAAACTGTCGGTGCAGTGGGAGTTGAGCTTTAGTTGGTTCCAAGAGGATGTTGATCAGTTAAAATTTGTTGGTGCAGTCAGAACTGAGTCATGAGAGACACTGTTGTTGCAGTGAGAGGCAATATTGTTGTTTTGTCTCCGACTGGGAGATTGTTGGATAATTGTGGATTCAAAACAAGCTAATTGGGCCATAACTAAGGCCCAATTTCAATAGGTTTTTGCTAAACACTTATATACATATATATGTTTGTTTCGCCGTCAAAATGAGTGTAGTGTTGTTGCACACATATTGAGTTGCGACCGAGAGAAGTTGCAAAACCCTTTTTTGGTGTTGTTGCATCAAAAGAAAAAAAAGGTGGCGGCAGTGGTGTTTGGTTGGCAGAGGAAGAAAAGAGAACTTGATTTGTAGAGCGTTGTCGGCAACGTGTTCTCTTGAGGTTAGTGAGGTTTTTGTTCTGTATTCCTAAGTATCTATTGGCGTAGTGCTTAGAAGCTAGTTGGCCAAGTTGTGGCATCAAGGGAGTGCTTTGTAGAACGTTTGTGAGGTTCATTGTATTTATCCCAAAATCATAGTAGAACCCGTTGTTGCGGAAGACTGAACGTAGCCCATAGTTGGGGTGAACCCGTATAAATTGCTTGTGTCGTTTTCTGTGGTTTTCCCTATATTTGCATATTGTGGTTGTGTTTGGATATTTTCTGTGGAAGAGGAAATTATACACGATAGTTAATTTCCCAACAATAATAAACAATCAAAGGACCATAATTCAATGAGAAAAAAAATTTGGAAGAGGAATAAAGCAATTACTTGCGGAATGAAACTTCCACGGTAAAGAACAAATCTTCAAATGATGCACGATGGTTGGAGGGGGAGAAAGACCAACTTTTGGTAACGAAATTTAAATTTCCATCGCCAAAAATTTTAAAATAAAAGTGGAAATTTGACCGCCAAAATTTTTCTTAAAATATAGACGAAAATTTTTTACGATAAAATTGTCTCCAAAAGTATCTTATTGTGACGAAATTTCAAGTGCCGGCTAAAAAACAAAATTCTTCTTAGTCTACTTTGTATTGTCTTATCGATCTATATCATTGCCAAATAATTTGGGTATGACAACGTTAGCACTACTCCCGAAATACTACAAATCTTACTCAATCGTACTAAACATTATTAGAGCATGAGAGTAATTTAACTTGCACACTTTATTAAAAGAATAAGGGCCATATATATAGGCCAAGCGAGAAATTGTTACAATAACCAACCCCAGACTTTAACAAAGTGTAAAAGTACAAAGATAAATAATCTCTAATAAACATATTGAAATAAATGAAGTACAACGGAGAACAGCAAGGAATTAAAAATCGTTTTGAAATTAAATTGGATCAAGCCCCATATAAAGCCTTGATTCCAGCAATGTCATCGCCATGCAAACCCTTGGTAACTCCCTCTGATATGCTTGGGAACATAATAGGCCCTTCAATGGAGCTGTGCTGAAGCCCTAGAAGATGGCCAATCTCATGCAACGCCACCGTTTCAACATCATGATGACCTGAAACGGCCCCCACAGACCAACGCTCATGAGCGTCCAAGTGAAATCTGCCGTCCGTGGGTGGATATGCATGCGCCAGAATTCCTCCCGCACCATCAAACGCCGCATCATCTCCATGCTCTTCAATTTCGAAGCTTATTTTGATATCAGCTGTTTTATGGTCTGAAACATGTGAAAATGTGAAGTGGGTATTGGAAGCCCATTTCGAAAAGGCTCTTGATACGGGCAAGATTGCTTCAGATGGGTAGCCCGGAAGAAATGCATAGCTCAAGTGGAACTTGGAAGCTGGCCATTTTAGGTTTCCTTCAAAGAAAGCAAAGTGAGAAACTTTGTGGAAATGGCTATGCCCATTTTGATTTCTTCTCCTTCCTGATGATCTCATCCAAGTGGTGCCATTGATGAAATCTTGAACCCCACATCGAGGCATGCCCATTTGGGTTATGGTCTTGGCGTCCAGAATTCCAGAAGCATCAATATTGTAATTTTTCTGGTAAGTTTTAACAGCGGATTCCAAGGCATGGTCGAAGGTGTCATCATCCATGGCCATGGAATTCTTCTCCACATTGGTAATGTAACCGAAACGTCGAAGATACTTTTTTAGGCGATGAATGCCTTGTGCTGTGTCACCCAAACGACATCCTCGGAGATTGTTAAAAGACAATGAAGAAGATGAGTTCATGTCGTGGGCAATGGCATTTTGTTTCAAAATCAGTACATGAGACGACATATTTAGATGAGGGAAGAAGGAAAGAAGAAGAAATAAGATGAAAGCAAAGATTTGGAGAGCTTTGGAGGCCATTGTTGCTGTAGGAGATATTAGCTTTGGGATAATTGTTAATGGTGCAAAATGCTTGAGACTTAGGAACCTATTTATAGGATTTATAGTGAAGGATAAAATAATGGTGTAAGTGAATAAGAAGTGCACGTCTCTTGAAGCTTAAACAGTAAAACACGTGGTTTTAATTGGCCAAAACTAAAAAGGTTGTTGTTGCTTGTGTCGTGAAATGGTTTGTAGGAATTAGGCTTTGGAGTTACCCAACTTTTGTTTTTGTTTTTTTGCATAAAGGGGACAAGCATGCCGTGGTTACTTGTATTATCCTTAATGAAGATATAAGAACGGGAGGTCCTAATGTTCAAACACGCATAGTTGTGTTTCCTGCGTATTTATAATGATTTCTACTTGTTGGGTCTTGTCCAATTATCTAAGTCCACAATTGAGTCGGACGGTTGAGAATCTCAACCCATCAATTCTTCTATTATCTCATGCATTTTAAAATGTTGTTATTATTTATTTTGATCCTATGTTTTTTTTTTAAGATAATTTCATTGATAGATACGTGAGAAACATATACCATAAAATTATTAATATTTCATCTGAATACCAATTATCATTGAATTTGTTAGGTTCCTTATCTTTTTATCATTTTTGAAACGAATGCTTGTTTGAGCATTTTTTTCTTTGATACTATATTAATATTCATGAGTTTTCATCTCAAAATCAATTGGTAATGAGAGAGTAGCATGTCTATTATAAAATTTAGTTAGGTCCCTTTTCATTCCACGTGGGATGCTTACCAAAAATAACTTAAATTTAGAGCTATGTTGGCATCCCAAATCTTGTTGACGGGTTTTTGTCGAGTTGTTGAAGAAGTACTAAATTGATCCTATGTTTTGATCGTTTAATTTATTAGTAGATCTCTGTACCAATAAAATATTTAAGGTTACGTGTAAAAAACGAGTATTTAACTTCAAGGCCAACATCTCCAGCATCATAAATAATATGATATTGCCTTTCATAACAATAAGCATAGGTCTCAAAACCTATATCAGGTCTTCTTTTATAATGAACAAAAAGATGAAACACCCTAAGAATTTGTGTTTCTTGTGAGCAAATTACATCGTTGCTCGCTCTAGTGTTTAGATTGAATATTCATGCTATATGATTGATAGAACCATATTAGAACTAACGCTTCCTCTTTGTCTTTTAAGTCTGTCATCTCATATGAGATCACTCCAATTAATAACCTATACTTGCTAATATTTTCACCAAACCTATTTTAAGAAAATTTGAGCAGAAATATGGTTGGATAAGTATTTTTCTTTTTTTTCCTTGATTGAAATGTATCACAAATAAACCTATTTTATAGAGTAAATTAACGTAGGTTCCTAATTTAAAGAATGACATCTTTAAATTTTTGTGCAAATTATACTATTAATTAGTCTCTAAGTATTTTAATTCTTACAGTGTGCCTCTAGTCGTTTAAATTTTGTTGGTAAGTTTTTAAGTTTGAGATCACTATAAAATTTCTTGAGAAAGTTCGATAGGATCTTTTGATTGGCCAATAAATCTACAAAAAGTTGCCTCTTTATGGCATCATTTATCACAAATTTTGAGTTAACATTTTCTACAAAATTTGATAAGAAAACAAACCTATATATGCGTGAAATATATGCAAGTGATCAATTGAAGTTGGTGGACCTCCCTCCTTTCAAAATCAAAGGTGTAGTTCAATTATATATTTGTTATCCTAATTATATGTCAGACAATAGTATAGGTACACAATGTATCATAATTAGAAGGAAAATAATATTTCTTAGCTCAATTAATTAATGTATATATTCTTCATAAAAAAATTAATTTGAAATTTATAACTCCAAATATTCTAGTACCTAAAAAAAATAGGTTCAGAAACTCGGTATGTTGAAAGTTTTTGCAGAAGGGATATAGTGGGTCAGTGACCATGAAAAATACGTCAAAATTTCTTCCTTGTACTCATGGCTTCCAAATAATCTAGGTATATAATATGGACTCTATTTATTGTTTTAAGATTGGTTGAATCATCGATTTAGTGAAATATCGGTGGGAAGATTTATTTTTTAAAACTCTTCTTTAATTTTATGATCCAAACAGTGAAAATAGATTTTGAATTTGAAACTTTAAAATGGAGAACTACGTTAAAAGATAATAATAAAAAGTATGATAAATATATTATTAACTTAGTGGTAATTAGCAATTTCCCACCCCACTTTAATTATATAGTATTGTAAAACAATAACTTTACACAATTTATAACAAAAATGTTAATAAATTAATTAATATGATTCTAGATTTATTTAGTTCAATAATGACACTAATTTACAAATATATAACTAAATACAGTTGAACAATTTTGTTTTAAATTGAGATACACTATTCAGATCTGCCGTCAAATATATATCCAAAGACACTCAAAATAAAGAATATTTTCAATTGAATCCTTGGAGACCGATTTTGATCTCGACCCATTTCTAAGAGAGTCTGCGCCCCGAGTAGGTCAAGAATTGCGTTTTGCCGCCAACTAGTACTATTTCGTCTAACTTCAAATTCTAGAATTTTTGAGAGCTTACGTCATAATATATTTGGTGATGTGATTTCGAATTTTCTAATGCATTGAATCCAAAGTTTACAAAATAATAATAATAATAATAATAAAAATCTCTTATAACGTTTAGGGAGTGTTTGATTCCTATTTTTAAAACGTGGTCTTCTTTGTAATTAACAGTACACTTAAATTCTATGGGAGAAAAAAAAACCATTTATTTATTTTAAGAGTTAAAATTTTTAAAATTTTCTTCTAATTTTGCCCTTATTTAGTTTATAATAAAAGATTGTACGAAGACTGAACTTCCTAAATCCAACCTTACAAAATCAAATTCCATATCTGCAATAGAAATTTATAAAGGGTTAGAATTTATAATTGTATGAAATCAAAATTAAAAAAAAATTCAATGTGTTCCTTCTAAACCATGGTCTTCTCCACCCCTTATAGTGCACCGCTATTATTTTCTCTAATTAAACACGCAATAATAGACATGCAAAATTTTTTTAACCCCATTTGATAGTTTAAAGATTATATTTATTTTTAAATTTGAACCTACACAGCAAGTGACAAGCATTAAAGTATCAAAAGTTTTGCGAATTTGAGTCTCCATCCACATATTATTCACATATTATTGCATGGAAAAAAACAATAGTTAACCACTACCAGGTCATATATCTCCAAATGTTAATATATAACATGGTACAAAAGATGTCTCCAGTACACATTCGTGCACTCCCTATTCACTTCACACAATTTGCTTCATCATGAAGAAACCTATAAATATACCTGTATCTTGCAATTATATCCTGTGTTGGGAATGTCAAAAAGAAAAGGATATTTACAAAACAAAATTGTTTTTCGATTGTCTCACATGTAAAGATTTTAATAGGATGAATCCAAGGAGTCGTT